GCGACAAAGCGACCGTTGAAAATCATTTGAGTCAATACGTCATGAATAGAACGCAGCAGCAGTTTTCTGTCGGGGATTTGTCGTGTCGTGCCGCGCCGCATCCAGTGTAGACCATAGATATGTACAGTATATATATCTATGGTGTAGACAGCATCACTGATTATAATGAGTTCTATAGTATTTTGTCGCGCCGCTCGTGTCCGGTGTAGACACAATGTAACATTGGTTTTGCTTTGTTTCACAGAACTAATCATTGCCTGGGTTGCGTACGTATGTGTGGGGCAGAGCTATCAAGATAGGGGCGAGACCCTTTTGGGGTAGGGGCGTGTTTGTTTTGGTGATTTCAAATGTCAACATTGGCTACCAGAAATCGCTTACCCCACCTTTAAAGAGAATTAACAAACCACAGATTCTTGTTTTTATTGCAATTTACAAAATCTTCCAAGTCTTTTGGAAATGGGGCTGTATTATACACAGTCTCATCTACGCAGGTTTGAGCGGTTTTGTCGAACTGTACAATAGTTTCACAGGATTTGTACCGGAGCTCTTCACCGCACAAGTGCAACGCCGTATCACGTGAGCTACTGAGCAAACCTACTGCGTTAGAAAACCCATACATATGTGACTCTAACGTTCAAAAGTATCAGTTTTCAAATCTCACAGCATGTTAACATCGTTTTGAAGTCATAACATAATATCGTGCAAGGAATTGTGCGAAAATTAGGCTTTCTTAATGGAAACTCTGGTTCTGTAAATCATGATTTGTGTGAAAAAGAAAAAAACTGAGTTTACTGCCTCTAGTGTTCATTTCAACTGGATACTGCAGCAATCCGTACGTATAGGTACTTTTTTTGAGTTTTGCAGAAATATAGGTAGAGGCACGCATTTCCGTTGAGCCCGAGTAGGTTGCAAACATATGCCTACAATATCAATTGGACAAACCAACAACAAAGGCCACAAGCAGCCAAACAAATTTCAATAGCTGATAACTTAAACTGTCAATCATTATGTAATTTGGCTGATGTGCACAGGGTATAGATCAAATGTGAGAATCGGCCAAAAGGTGCCGCTAAAATAAGTTGAGCCGATATATATTTGGAAGTGGCCCATTTATTGGCCTGTATATTGTGAAATCAATGCCCTTAATGTACATGTGCTGTGACCGAAATCGCCCCCTATATCCTGAGTGGACAGCCATTTGGAGTGGTGTCCAAAACCAAAGTAGACATTGAGTGCACTCATTTAATCCCATAATGCACCGCAATAGCAGTGTGTGCTAAAAACGTTGTGCATGTCAGCATCTTCTGTTTGTTTCAGTTTGGCAGTTTTGGTCATTTTCTCCCATGATCCCTATAATAATAATAATGCTTGGACATCAACAATGAATGTTTGTGGCTATATTTTATTTTTAATTTTATAAATTTTCCCGGTTTAAACAACACCAATCTAACATCATATCAAACAACATAGACAAAGTATAGAAAATGAAACTGATCAAATATGTAGTTTGAGCACCTTCTTTCACTGACCAGTTGTTTAAAATAGAAAAAGAACCATTTTTGAAGGGTCCCCAGATAGCAAGCAACCATTGAAACAATGTTAAGTCAATGTTGATGCGTCAACACTAACTGCATTGAATTAATGTTACAAAGTGGTGTTGGTTCAGTATCACTTTTGCACCCGCAATTAATATTGAAAAAAGTTGAGATTTAAAAAAAACAAAAAAAAACAGTGGTAACGTCACTGGATCATCATTATGAAGTGAAGATGTTTCAACATCACTTATTCACCCACACTTAAATGTTGAAACAATGTTGAATTTTCAGAAAAAAACAATGGCAATGTCACTGAATCAACGTTACACTATGATGTTGATTCTACATCAC